CTCGAGCTCGTCGTCCCCCCCATTCCCCCCCCCCCCCCCCCCCCCCAATTGGCAAGTTTTTTTTTACATGCTTTTGGGTTATATCCATTTCTGGTATCTACAACCAAATCATTTTTCTTCGTTCGGACTACTGCTGTACAACCATTTTTTTTTTTTTTCGTTCGGCGTTCTCGAGATTGCTCCACAGATTTGCGAGTGTGGGTTGTTGGAAGAAGGGTAGCGGCTGCCACCGTCCGACATTCCTGCAGAATTGGTGCTTAAAATTGTTAGAGAGGAGAAAACAATGCAACACGCTGCTTTGAGGTTGCTCTTGTTCTCTGGCGTCCTGGAGTCTACGATAGATTGTTTTCTAATATTCGAACTGCATCAATTGCGTGCGAATGTGCGTATAGTCTTGAGTCTACATTGAAAAGTTCGAATCTTACCGGTGTTCTCATGAGTGTTCTTATTTTTCATTTTATTATTATTATTTTTCTCTTCTTCACTTCAAATCAGCTCTCACAGCATTATAGTGCCGTTTACTCCCAACCCGTGGGCACACAGAAGAGCCCCTCTCTACCCTCCCCTCCTGCTGTACTTTGCCTTCGATTTTTAATGAGAGAAGAGTTCAGCACTGATTTTTAATGAGAGAAGAGTTCAGCACTCTCTTCCCTCTGCGTACACACGAGTAGCGCTATCCACTAGGCCAGGAGCGGAAGCGAGACAAAAACTCACTTTGCAAGAAAAGCTCGCTTACGGGATCCGAACCCCCGACCTGACCTGTACAATAATAGAAGGTTTCGAGGATACCAACTAGACCACCGGGGCGACCGGTTCTTATTGCACACCCTAAATAATGAACGACGTGGATCCTCTTCGCCTGACCGTGGAGAAGACGACACTGGACGCTGTGTTATATGGCAGCAAAGTACAGTAGTAGGCACGTAACGGGGAGGCACGTGCGGGCAAACACACCTGCCAACGCGCCAACGCGGAGGAAAACAATTTTTTTCCTCGGCGTGTCCATGATTCCGACAGTCCCGTAGCGGCGGAGTCCGATGTGTCCATGGGCCATGCATGCCACTGCCTAAACGAGAACCGTACACATTCTTCTTGAGAATGAGCAGCTGCCTATGTATATGTACATATGTACCCATAAGCATGTTTCCTGCTGATGACGACCACAGCCAGTATTATTGTTGACCCTATTTTTTCTCATTCAATAATGCGTGAAGCCCGTGACAGTTTCCAGGAGAAAGTTTCTCCATCCTGCCTTGTACCTCGTACAACGAGTACTCGGAGATTTCGGAGATGGATTGCCGCGTCTCTGTGTGTTGCACGCACCAATGCACAACGAGTTGTTACTCACTACTTCCTCCCCTTTCTCTCTGACATTCGGAGCACCCCAACATTCCTGACAGTTCCCGTCACCGCACTACTACACGCATATTTCTTCAAACGACCCTCCTATACCTCCTCAATCCTGTGTTTGCTACCGTGGCGGACTTGCCGTGGAAGGGCACGGTATCCTGCCCGCGGCTCGCGGCAATTCAACCATAGTGCGAACACCCATGGTCAACGATGAGAAAATCGTGATTGAGGTTGCTTGCAAGCACGCACACGCAAGAGACTACAGAGACAGGGAAGAGATCATCCATTGGTAGTGCGCGGCCGAAGGTCCAGCACCGTATCTACGATTTAGGTGAGTGCCGGGGTACGGACCACATGTCGATCCTTCGTCTCGCGAAATTTCAAAACTTACAGAGCGAACTCAGCAACAACTCAGTCAGCAAGACGGACCCGGGCTCCATGAAGCTCCCCTATATCATTGCAAATAGATCCGCCATGAACGCCAAAACCCTTGTGCGGCAACCGCAGAGTACCACGCTTGGGAAGCAGGTGGTGTGAGCATGCGTCGCTCATGGTGGTGGGCTCCCAAGATTTCGATCCCCTGCGAACAAACGGACGATGCATGGTTGAGCTCATGCAACAAAGTGACGCAACAGCCGTCCGTGTGCGTGCCGCAAACGTCAGAGTCAAGAATACATGTATGCACTGCTGTATGCATATGAATGAATGCATATGCTACGAAGTCCCATCAAGTAGGAGAGCAAGAGGAGAGGGATCTTGATGTACACATGTACTTGTCGATAGAGTGATGAGACACCTCGGTGTAGAATGAAGGGCTGCCTCACGCGAGCGAAACGGCGATTCGACCGCTGCCTGCCACTGTTGTATTTACAGTTGTAGTTGTTGACAGGGTTGACCGCCTTGTTGCTGCCCATTCTTTAAAAAACGTGCACGCGTGTACTTGCTACGCACTCCTCCACCACACCACCTGCTGCTGCGAAAAGCCGGCATACGTATGAATACGTCATCTGAAATCGCGTGATCGCGTGTGACGGCAGTCTGACGTGCCTTCAGCAGCAGAGCAGAGCAGTGTTCCCACCACCCGACATGCAACAACAGTCTAATTCACACTTCATTCAGAGCAGTGCATCGGACATCCTCTGATATAAAACAGCTAGACTAGCCTGTTCTTGCCACCATTGCCATCGTCGCTGAAGTGTTCGTGGCTTCACACCTTCTCAGCCGGCCTTCAAACTTCTTGCTTGTGATAAGTCTCCGTGGTAACTTCTCCGCGCATGAGTCATATATATGCAGTTATGACCTGCGCTTTGACTTTCACGATGGGTATTTTACCTCTCTCTTTGTCTTGCATTGGTGAGTACCTGCGTTATACGGAAGGATCGTTCCACGACGCAAACGTCGACGTCTCCGTTTTTTTTTTTGTTCCCTCCGCACTCCTTCCTTGCGGCGGTTTTCACACCGACTTCGAACGTGGGGTGCAATTTCCTCTCTTCGTACCTTCCTCGTCGGCCTTCTCCATCGTTATGTACAAATGTATACCTCGATTTTTCGGCTTTTCGATTCCGATAGAGAGATAGAGACAAGACTACGGACTGACATTTCCCTTTCGCCCCCGACGGGACCGCGCGCTCGTCGAGTGCCGAAATTCTTCACCACTTCCTTGCCTCTCCCAACACCGTCCCTTCTTCCCGCCCCAACAACTCTTCTCCCCTTCTTCTTCTTATTTCCTTCCTCCCGGACACTCACCAACATCCGTCCCGGATGTTGGCCACCAGCCCCACTGGGGGGCGGGGGGCCAATCCTTAACCCTAGTATATATATATATATGTGGATAGCTCGATCACTGTTTTTGCTTCACAGCAGTGTGGACCAGACGCCGAACGACGTCCGCCTACTACATCGACCATGACTGGATGGGATACATACCTCCTGCGACGGCGAGCCACACTACTACTACTATTACTATGCGATGCAAACATCCGTTCGCGTGTCGTGCGCCTGCCACATGTCCACCAACAGGTACACGCAGAGCTCCCGCTCTCTCTGTAGTTGTTGCCGCGTATTGTAGCCTCCTCCTGACGCACGGGGTCGGTGCCAAATTATGGCTTTAGGGAGTGGCGTGCTTGCTTGTGTTGAAATGCTAGTACAGCAGTCAGTGTACGTACAGATAAAATAGATAGGCACACAACGATGACTTTCTTGACAAGTGCTGCTTGTGCGCTGCGAAACAGCACCGAGAGTGGACAAAAGGGGACAGTCATTCAGAGCGCAGACACATCTCGGTCATCTCCTGGTCACTCTGCATCATCTGCAGCAACCGTCTTGTGAATCGACGTCGTGGTCGTCGAGATATACAGGTTCTTCGCGAGAGAGAAAGGCCTAGACTGTCTTCCTTTTTTTTTATTCCAGGCGCCGCCCCTTGCGCCGCCAGTACAAAATAAAAAAATCGCCCTTTGGCTCTGTCCTCCCCCTACTACTTTTCAAGTTTTTATATTTATTTCAGCATCCTGACAACGGCCGCCCGCTTGTCACACTTCTCTTGGACCGCGCGCGAAAGCACCGTACGTAGCAGATATTGCTATCTAGCTCGCTCCCGCCGCGCCGCAATCTCTAAGCTTTTCTTGCTTCTTCTAATTTATTTCGTGTTGTTCCTGTTGATCATCTTCTCATACTTTCTTGTGTCTTTTAGAAATACTCCCGCCACCTGCTGCCCAGATTCCCCGGTATTCCGACATTAGGCAGGTAGCGGTACAGTGAGTAGCAGCAAGAGCAAGCGATGTGCAAGCGTCCCCCCTTGCTCAGTGTTGCCTGGGAGTGAGCGATAGGGAGCGACTGAGAGGGAAAGGAAGGAAAGGAAGGAATCGAACTGAAGCGGAGCGGCTCCAACCCGCACAGTGGTGGTAGACTAATATGGTGCGGGGTCGAGAACCCTCACTCCGCGCAACGGGGGATGATCGCACCACGTCAAGCATCCTCGAGGCAGTTACCCAGTACTTTTAACTGTCTCTGGAAGTGGAAACACCAGAAAATAAATTAAGTCATCATACATACGCAGTTGTCATCCGTACGCAAGGAAGTAAGCACAAGAAGCCGAACACCCCTAGCAGGATGCAGCGCACCCTTCATGCGACTCGTCGAATACCTCACGGCGCGCTTCGCGCTCGGTCATTTGAGAGCCTGGTCCGGTGAGAACCCGGTGTGCTCCGTCCCGGCTTTGTAAGGATGCGAGGTCAATGGTCTAACGACTACAGCATGGACGACAATGAGTACATCCCCCCCCCACGCCATCCCCTCAACCTTCTCTTCTCGTTCCACTCTTGGCGTTGTTTCCCAGTCCGCGTCTGCGGCGGATAGATTCTTGCCGGTCAAGTGGGGTGTGACGGAGCCCGGGCAACTATTCGCGTATTCGCTGGTGAAACAAAACTCAACAAGATGCCGAAGGATGCGAAAACGACGAAAAAACTCCAGGGGGCCCCGATATCAACGGTCACCACAACAACTGGCGACGGGGACTCCAAGGGCGGCGGCGGCACCGCAAGCGCCGCCACCGCCGCCGTGCTCTCGGGCTTCAGCGACGCGGTCGCCGCTTTGCGTTCTTCTTCTCCTTCGCCGTCGTCATCGCCGTGCGCCGCTCCCCCTCGCAACGAGGACGACATCGCGCACGTCATCGGCAACCTCAAGATCATGCACAGGGCGTGCCGGGACCTGGGCGCTCCGCCGACCCTCCAGAGCGCCCAGCTGTGCTCGGAGATGGCCTCTCTCGCCCTGACGTACCTGCCCGAGGACACCCGGAAGGCCTTGCGGAGGAGCGAGTGCGGCAGCGACGTGGCCATGGAGCTGGTGTGCCGCAACCTCACGCATCTCCCCGTCTTGGCCAAGAAGCTCTACCAGGTACGAAGCTCTATATACCAGGCTTTTCGTATTTTAACCCTTAGTTCAGAATGAGATCAGACCACGTCTGTTCCGTACATTGCACGGTGACACACGGGCGATCCCCTTTTAAATGCGAATGCAGTCGATCAGACCGAAGATGGGAGCCGCAGACGGAAACCACTTGCTTGCTAATGACCGATCACACCGGCTACATTTTTGTCCCAATTTCCCGCTTTCCGGTGAAAGGCCGTCCACTGGGTGCAATGTATTCGTTCCAACTCCGGGGATAAAATGATGGGAAATAAACGGCACACACCCCGACGGTGGGGTGAACCTAATTGCTGGTTCGCACTTGCTGAGGGTGGCAGGAAGTGGCATCGACCCCGGAATATCGAAGAACCGTCAAGGACTGCAGAAACTATAAATAATACAATCACGCTTTATGATGATATTTTCCCCGGCGTGTTGTTTTGGAAGTTTGTGTGAGTTCCCCACGATGGAAATTTCCGCCATTGGAATTGGTCACACGCGGAGGAAAGCCCAAGAAAGTGTCGAACCTAGCGCCCCGCTCGACACCGACGAGAAGCCGGTGTTAACGCTCGACCCTATGCTCGACGATCATCGACAAATGAAACGACCCTCCAGTACACCCCCCCCCCCCTCGGTGTTTGCCATCGGGGTTGGGTTTTCGTCGCTTGGCAATGACGTGGTAGAACAAGCCGACCACTTCGTGAGCTCGGCAACCAGGTTACCGCTTTTTTTTTTGCCTCTAGGTTTTATTTTTGGCGAAAACCATGAATGGTGGTCGAGCAGATCATGTTGTACGGGGTCGACCACCCTCTCTCCGCGCAAAGGGGATGATCGCACCACGTTGTGTTAAAATGGTCAAGCACCCTCGAGGCAGTTACACAGTGCTCACAACTGTCTCTGGAAGCACCAGAAAATAATTTTAAGTCATACGCAGCTGTCATCCGTACGCAAGGAAGTAAGCACAAGATGCCGAACACCCTAAGCAGGATGCAGCGCACCCTTCATGCGAATCGCCGCATAACTCAGGGTGCTTCGCGCTTGGTGATGTGAGAGCCTGGTCCGGTGAGAACCCGGCGTGCTCCGTCCCGGTTTTGTAGGGATGCGAGGTCAATGGTCTAACGACTACGGCATGCACGACAACGAGTACACCCCTCCCCCCTGCACGCACATCTCCCGTTCGCAGGCCACGCCGAAGGAGCTAGGCGCGGACGAGGGGCTCCAGAACATCCACGGCGCTCTCGCACCCAGCCTAGAGCTGTACGGCGCGCTAGTGTCCCACGGCGTGGACCCGCGCAGGCGCCCCTGGGCGAGGCGGCTGCTGGAGAAGTTTGCGTCCCTGAGCGAGCTGCGGTGGGTCTCCTGGAGGCGACTGATGCACAGCGTGGACATGGGGGGCGACGCCATGCTCGGAGAAGAGGGGGGGGAGCAGGGGGGCGATGGCGGCGGTGGCGGAAAAGGCGCAGAAAACGAGGAGGAGGAAGAAGAGGATGAAGGGAGCGACGGGGACGATGGAGAGGTATATTCCAGACTTCGTATAGTTTTCGCCCTTGTATTCTTCCGCCGTGGGCGCTCTTTAGCGCGTTTGCGTGGATTTGTTTTCTTCTTGCTGTCTTTTTCCCCGCCTGCAAGGGTTCGCCGCGGCTAATAACGTGAGACCCCGCCGGCTTTGACCTCCTCCTTCCCGCGTGTTGCAGGAGACTCCTAACGCGGAAGAGGAGGCGTCCAAGGAAAATGGTCACGGCGCCAAAGCTTTGAAAGAGGTTGGTCCTCCGCCTAAAGCCGTCAACCTTGCATAGTTGTAGCCCGACCCCACAACAGCGACCCACCAAGATATTGGCGATGTCCACCGGTTTTATGCTGATCACATGACCACCGCGCGAGTGGCACCAAATCGTTTGCCGTTTCTCTCCAACTTCTTGTCGCCATCGTATCAGCAGTCGTTAACCAGCCCTACGTTGCCTGCCTCTGCGCCCGTCCGATTCATGAAGGCGTTGTCGTGGCAGAACACACGACCTTTAGCAGCGTCTGATGTTTCTTGCGGCGCTGAGACTAGCGCCTTCTCTTTGGTGAGCGGGTTAGCGCCGCCAATGCCAGCAAGACACACACGCGCAACATTCAAGGGCGTGCTATATCACCCCGCTCTCTCTCTCTGTCTCTCTCTCTGTCTCTCTCTCTGTCTCTCTCTCTCTCTCTCTCTCGCTCGCTCGCTCTCTCTCTGTCTCTCTCTCTGTCTCTCTCTCCGTCTCTCTCTCTGTCTCTCTCTCTCTCTGTCTCTCTCTCCCTCTCTCTCTCTCTCTCTGTCTCTCTCTCTCGCTCTCTCTCGCGTTCTCTCTCTCTCGTTCTCTCGCCAGACGCAGGAAAGGTCCAAGCAGGAAAAAGCCTTACTGTCGGCAGCGATGGCGGCGGCCATGCCGGTCGTGCGAACCCCGCCCGCCCTGTCCAAGGGTGAGGTGCGCGTCCTCGAGACTCTGTACGCCTCCGGCGCGAGCGCTCCGCCGATCAGGAAGCAGGCTTTAGAATTCGGCCTGGGCCTGGACGCGGCGGGGCAGCTCGAGGACGAAGGCATCCTGACCTCCGCCAGCCTCACGGAGTCGAGCATCAGCAGCTTCCAAGCCAGGTTGAAGGTGTGAAGAAACAACACAAGACAGTCCTCCGCGAAGCGATTTTTTTCCAACACCCACACATAATTAGTAAGCGATCGGAATGTAGTCTCTGCCCCAGGCGGGGGGGGGGGGGGGGGGGGGGTGTCCTCATAGTCGTGCATGCCGTAGTCGTTTGACCATGGACCTCGCATCCCTACAAAGCCGGGACGGAGCACGCCGGGTTTTCCCCGGACCAGGCTCGTAGAGCGAGGGGGGGAGGGGGTCATGACTGGGGAGGGGGGGTCCGGGCTGTTGTTCATCGTTGCCGCTGCCGGGCCGCCAGGCAACCATGTAATTACAATCACCGCGACTGCATCAATCTGTTTGAGGCCTCCACCTCACTCACCCCTCTTCACGGTGCTAGTCTTGGGGAGGTCTCGCAGATCCCACAGGTTGACGTCTATCCCAATACCCGAATTTCGGGTAGCCCGCTTCATTCCGCTAGTCATGGCCTCCCCGCCTTACACAGAGAAATTGAGTAGAGAGCGCGAGGGGGGGGGGGCAGAAGGATACGTTGTTAACCTCTCAGATTCTCAGATCATTGGTCCATTCCCTGGTTGATACAGTTTCACACTCCTGCCGCGCGTGGTTGGAAGGGACAATAACAATCGGCAGCAGCGACTCTTTGTGTTCTGGAGCTGGAGCTGACGACTTCGTGTACGGGCGGATGCCTTACAGCAATAGCAGGTTTTGTCCTGCAATTATAGGTGCAACAAGCATATATTATCCCCATCGAGGCGTACGTTGTATAGCTATTGGCACCGTGCGTCCTTGTTCCTTCCTCCTCCTCATCATCAGACGAGTCTACAATGCCTTGTGCTGTTTCCACGGGAGGCACGATTGACAATCATTTCAAGAGAGGACCAGGGCCATCTGATTGTTGTGTAGATTGTTCTAGCCGAAAGCCGACGTCCTACTCGAAAGAAAAATCAGGTTGCCCAAGTTGGGTTGTCATGAAAAAAGAAAGAGGAGGCAACTTGGTCGGAATACCAAAAACGACCGAACAAGCAAACAAGCAAACAACCAAAGGTGGTCCGGGCTACGCAAGAGAGAAGACACGCCGGCAGCAGGAGCTCGTCCTGAAACGGGGTCACAGAAAGAGCGAACGAGGCTTGTGTAGCCGAGAGCGGTGCGCTCACGCTTGCAGATGAAAAAGCACAAACTGGTCTAAAAAAAACGAGTTGGTCCAGGGGAAAAGCTTTCTGTGGGCTCGCCCACGGAAGGGAAGCGCTCAACAAACGGACAGCCCTCCGTAGCAATGACTATACTCAATCGTAGCGCCCCACCCTCTACGAAAACTTAGGTTGAACACTCTGGATAGCGACCAGATGAAGTTCGGCTATCGCCCGTCTCATGAACGCCCCTCAGGGGAGCGTCGAGGTGTGCATGCCATCTCTCTCTCCCCCTCTCGTCGATGGTCAGAGGTTTCGGTGCTTTCGGCTTGATAGGTTCTGTCGACAGCGGCTTGAGGTCTCACACGACGTCTTTCGCGTAGCGTGCACTTCTGGATGAAGGCGGCGTGGTCTGTACCAGCTGCTTCGCCAGACTTGGGGCGGCTAGGTGGCGTCGATGTCTCGCGATGGTGATCGTTTACGTGGGTTGCCTGACCCTAGGCTGGCTCTGTGCAACGACTCGAGAAAATATCTAGACTGTAGGGTGCATCACCCGGGACGCCTCGTACATCTTCACCGCACCCTCGACACGCGCTGACCTACGAGGACACGCCCGTGGACACAACCCTGGTCGAGAGCTTTCCTCTTGGCCTCACCTGTGCGCTGATCGCTCTCACCTCCTTTCCTCCTGCTGCTGCTTCTGGTACCGCCTGACATGCTGATACGCGTGCTGTTGTTGACGATTTTGTGTTTTGT